TGTGGTCAAATTCTTGCTTGCTTTTCTACACTTTGTCTCTTAAAAATGTTTAGATTGATTTCAGAGAGGAAGGTAGAGGGAGAGATAGAAACATCAATGAAAGAGAGTCATTGATCAGCCGCCCCCAGCACACCCCTTACTGGGGGTTGAGCCCACAACCCAGGGCATGTGCCCTGACAATTGAAAGGTGACCTGGATAATGGGTCACCGATCAACCACTGAGATATAATAGCTGGGCTCCACTTGATTGAAATCTTTCCCTCAAGAAGACAAGAACCAAAGAAGATGAGAACCGAGGTCAAGTCTCATCTCCCTGGTAACAGTTAAACTTGCAAGTTCCTAATACCACAGCCATCTTGACTTATGTTCTGTATGAATTAGAAAATCAGACTAGTTTTTTTGTTTTTTTAATTGATTTTATAGAGGGAGGGAGAGAAATATCAGTTTGTTGTTTCATTTATTTATGCATTCCTTGGTCAATTGTTCCACTTATTTATGTACTCGTTGATTGATTCTTGTATGTGCCCTGACCAGGGATTGAACCCACAACATTGGTGAATCAGAATAATGCTCTAACCAACTAAGTTACCTGGCAAAGGCCAGACTAGTTTTTTTGTTTTCTGTGTGTTTTGTTTTTTTTAAAATATGTCTTTATTGATTTCAGAGAGAGGAAGGGAGAGAGATAGAAATATCAATGGTGAGGCAGTTATTAATTGGCTTCCTCCTGCATGCCCCCCACTGGGGATCGAGCCCTGAAACTGGGCATGTGCCCTGACCAGGAAGGAACCTTGATCTCTTGGATCATAGGTAGATGCTCAATCTCTGAGCCATGCTCTGCCGGGCTTAACTCTATTTTTTTTTTTTTTTACTTTTATTAGTATTTATTTTATGTTGAATTTACTCCCGGGCCATAAGCTTTTGTTTCTTCAGTTTCTTCTGGGATATGTTTTTCTTCTGTGCAACCTCCTCTTCTGGTTTAGGAACAATCTGCTCTTTTTCAGTAAGGATCATCTCAATGTGGCAGGGAGAACTCATGTATGGGTTAATCCGCCCATGAGCTCTGTAAGTTCTACGTCGCATCTTGGGAGCTTTGTTCACCTGGATGTGCTCAATGACCAGAGAATCTACCTCTAAACCCTTAAGTTCAGCATTGCTCTCTGCATTTTTAAGCATGTGCAGCAAAAATCCAGCACTCTTTTTGGGCCACCGACCCTGTGTCCAGCCCCACTGTTTCGCCTGGGCACACCTACCAGCTCCACCATTGTAACGACAGAATGGGACACATTGCTTCTGTAAAGTGACATCCTTCAGATACTTGGTGGCTTTTCGAATATGCATACCCTTGATGGCCTGGGCAGTTTCACGAGTGTTCTTAAAGTGAACACGAAGATTTGAACCTCTTGACTTGCATGATTTTGTGGGGTTTTCTGGGTCAAGTGAATAGCGAACCATTTTCAGAGGTCACCTCTGGCCGCTTTCGGGAAGAGCAACTCTAATTTTTAAGATTAGGCCAATGAGCTTCTGTATGCACCTCACCTAGATAAACCAATTGTTAATATTAGCCACATTTACTTTATTTTTTTAACTGAGATGTTTCAGATATTTAACCCTTCCTCCCCAAATACTTGCTTATCTCTTCTTAGAACATTCTCTTATATATATAACCACAGAAGGATCCATTTCAAGAAATTTATAAAGAAATTGTATACCTCTACCCATTTATATTCAGCCTTTCTGAAACACTATGTGTGACTCAGCAAAGACTGAGCTGAGTTTTGTGTGATACAATCTGAAAATGTTTGCTTTTCATGGGTGACTTTTATCTAATTTCATCATGTCAGCTGTCTGTGTATATATATATGCAGTTCTTCAGGAAGTCAGGAAGATTCACATTGTCTTCCAAGTGGTTACTTTTATAATTTAAACTTCATAATATCTTTACTTTCTCTAGTACTTATTATCCTAATGTGAATAATAATAATGATTTTTCCCTCTTCCCCTCACCCTTCAGTTTCCTCTGCCACTTAATATGAATCAAATTGTCTTTTGGTGTTCAACTTTGTGGGGCTAAACTGAAGTTTGAGTGTAATTGTCAGGTTTGAATGATATCTTTTATTCCCCAGCTATACATTAACACTACTGGTTCTTTTTTTTTTTTAATATATCTTTATTGATTCCAGAGAGAGGAAAGGAGAGGGAGAGAGAGACAGAAACATCAATGATGAGAGTCATTGATCAGCTGCAGCCCGCAACCCGGGCATGTGCCCTGACCGGGAATCGAACCCCGATCACCTGGATCCCAGGTCGATGCTTAACCGCTGAGCCACGCCCAGCGGGCACTACTGGTTCTGTAACTGTGCGAGTGCTTCTTAAAGAGTCTTCCCCCCTATAGTTAAATATATTTAACACTCATTGCCATCTCTTGCTGTAGTTAATCAACCTCATCACCTCCCGGTGGGTGCGTTTGTTCCCTAGTGCTTTCTCCAGAAAGGGCTCAGTATTCCCGGAGTTCTTTCATGTCCAAAACTGCTCTTTTTTCTTGATCAACCGCTTGTCTCACTTCTTTTCCTCAAGGATATTGTAACTCCTGCTCTAATATTACGTTTAATATTAATGAGATCTGAAGCCAGCTTGCCTACACCCCCCTCGTCTGTGTTTTGCCTGACGGCTCAAAAGCAGCTTTATCTTTGAAGACCATCAGGTTGGCTGGAACAGCTCTTTATTCTGGCTGCTTGGAGCACGGAGTGTTATTTCGTTCTCTCATAGTCATTTTTCTTGAATGGTATCTTCAGAATTGTTCTGTTTCATTGTTTTTGCTTCCTTTGGTGTGTCTAATGTATACTTAGAATTGCTTTTGCTTGTCTTTATAGTTCTTATTCTCTAATCCTTTAATTGTTTCCACTTAAATTTTCTGTTATTCTACTTCCTTCTATTTACTGACTTTTCTATAGTTTCTCCCTTGTCCTTCCCATTTTTGTCTTCTGTCTTCCTCTGAGTTTTGCAACTCACATTTCCTTAATTCCTGTGCTCTTGCTGTGTCTCCCCTTGGTTCCGGCATTTGATTTCTTTAGTTAGCGGTCCTTCATAGTTTTGCATAATTTTTTTGACTCTTTGGTGACACTTTTATTTTGTGTTCTCCATCCTTTCCTTACTTAAAAATCAGTTGGTATATTTTTGTTGTTGACACTATTACAGATGCCCCTCATTCCCCCCCTTTCCTCCTCTGTCCAGCCCCTACCCCCCACCAGACCTTCACCACAGTATTATCTGTGTCCATGGTCTATGCATATAAGTATATAAGCTTTTTGGTTATCACTTCCTGTCCCTCCTCCCCTCTGAGATTTGTCAGTCTGTTCCATGCCTCCATTTCTCTGGACTTACTTTGTTAGTCATCTTATTTTGTTCATTATATTCCACAAATAAGTGAGATCATGTGATATTTGTCTTTCTCTGAAAGGCTTATTTCACTTAGCATAATAATTTCCAGGTCCCTCCACGCTGTCCCAAAGGGTAAAAAATCCTTTTTTTAGAGCTGAAATTATTCCACTGTGTAAATATACCATAGCTTTTTTATCCATTCACCTACTGATGGGCATTTGAACTGTTTCCAAATCTTAACTACTATAAATAATGCTGCTATGAATATAGGGTGCATATATTCTTTTTGATTGGTGTTTTAAGGTTTTTAGGATATATTTCTAGAANTATTACAGATGTCTCCTTTCTTTCCCCACTGACGCCCTTCTACCCTGCACCTGCCCCCTGCCCCAGCCCTTCACTATATTATCGTCTGTGTCCATGGGCTATGCATATTTGCATATATGTTCTTTGGTTAATTTCTCCCAGTGCCCTCCAACCCCCTCCTCTCTGAGATCTGTCAGTCCGTTCCATGTATCCATGCCTCTGGTCCTATTTTGTGTGACAGTTTATTTTGTTTATTAGATTCCACATACATGTGAGATCATGTGATATTTGTCTTTCTCTGACTGGCTTATTTCACTTAGCATAATACTCTCCAGGGCCATCCATGCTGCCACAAAGGGTAAGAGTTGGTATTTTATTAAAGGGCAGTATTCGGCAGTGGTTAAGGATGTGGACACCTGAGCTCTGATTGAGTTTGATCCTGTAGGTTTTTTTAGGTAGGATCACAGCAGCTTCTGGTCTAGGGCTAATTATTCCCCACAGCTGAGACAAAGCCTTCCTGAGTGCTCTACCCATGTGTTATATGGTTTTTCATTCTGGCCAGTGGGAACAGGCACTATTCCTGGCCTTGTGTGAGCACTGTGTATGTTCTCTCTTAGCTTAGCTTAGCTACGGTGGTCCTTTCTCCAGCCCTTGGCAGATTCCTAACAAACTGGTCACACAGGGGGACCCTCTGCAGCTTTCCAGAGCTCTTCTCTCTGCATACCTTCCCCTGCTCTGGCATTCTGCCCTGCAAATTCTACCCAGCTTAGCCTCCCTGGACTCCCAGCAGAGTCTCCCATCTCAGAGAGGCTGCTGGGCGCTGCTGGGTTTCTCTTATCTGTGCTGTGGCTTGGAAACTGTTTAGATCATAGGCTAGGATAATTGTAAGGCTGCCCTTATTTGTTTCTATGTGTCAGGGATCACTGTCCTTCATTGCCTGATATCCAGTGTGTTGAACTGTGTTATTCTAGATATTTTGTACTGTTTTATTTTTCATTGTTTCAGGTAAGAGGATAAATCTGGTCTCAGTTACTCCATCTTGGCCAGAAGTCCTTGTGGTGTATCTGAATTTAGATGAGTCACATCTCAAGTGCTCAGTAGCCACATAGGGCTAATAGCTATCACATTAGACACTATAGGACTAGAGGGACTGAGAATCTAGAAGTTGAAAGCCATGAACTAATAATAAAATAATTCTTCAGTGTGACATGATTTTCTCTATCAGTTCTAAACAAGAGTAGTGGTAGATACTGTAGGTTGTAGCATTCATGTGTCCAGGGTGTGAGGTTTGCTAGGTAGGTGGAATGGAAAGGCCGATGATACTAGTAAAAGGTAAGTTTCAGATGTTCAACTCTGATCCAGACCAGTTAAGGAAATAAGGACATGAAAGTGATAAAGAACTAAAGGTGGCATGAGATTGAGGGCGACAGCTAAGGATCACTCAACGTGAATTTGGAGGTGGCTCAATTCCAGGGTTCAGATTCCTGAAGCATGTCATTTCTGTGTTCATCTATGCAGATATTTGAAGATAACAGCCATCTACATGGGAAGGATAGATCTATTTTCTCTCTGGCTAGTGAGAGCCTTAGAATCAACAAACATAATTTTAAAAAATACTGATGAGTAGCCTGGCAAGTGTGGCTCAGCAGTTGAGTATCGGCCTGTGATCCAGGAGATCAAGGTTTGCTTCCTGGGCAGGGCACACGCCCAGGTTGGGGGTTCCATCCCCAGTAGGAGTTGTGCAGGAGGCAGCTGATCAATGACCCATCACTGATGTTTCTATCTCCTCTCCATCTCCCTTCCTCTCTCTGAAATCAATAGATATTTTTAAAAAAATACTGATGAGTAATACAAAAAAGAGGTGTCTCTGAACCAATTTAGCATCAAAGAAAAATCTTGCCAAAATGCTAATGCCCAATTTTCTAAATTTTCTCAGGAGCACATTGATGCAAAGAACTCATCTGCTCATTACCAATCTAGTAAGTGTGTTTTTTTGGTTTTTTTACTTTTTAAAAAATAAACTTCTTTTAATTGATTTTAGAGAGAGGGGAAAGGAGAGGGCGAAAGAGAGAGAAACTCGGACCGGGGATGGAACCCAAAACCTGGGTATGTGCCCTTGTAGGTGGCGGGAACGACGCTGGATGTTTATCCGGTGGGATCAGGCCCGACCTGGGTTCAGCAACCTTGGTACTTGGGTTCTGGCTAGGAAAGAATTCAGAGCCAAGGCTCAAACTGCAAGAGAACAGTTATTTGGTAAAATTACTGAGGTGGAAGAAGTAATTCCTAGAAGAAATGGGCTTAGGAAACAAGTTATAAAGGCGAAGGAAAGGGCCTTTGGAGCTTAGGACTGAGGAAGCTAATGGTACTGTTCCTGGTGGGGTGGGGGTGGGGGACCTAAAGGGGACACATTCAGGAGCCCTGCTGTCATTTTTTCATCACTCTGTCCCTGCCCTGACCTCTCTTTCCAACACCCCCCTCACCCCCCTGTCTTGGGAGTAGGCAGTTTGAGCTTTCTTGCTCAGGTGTCATAGCCATTTCTCAGGCTCCCTCTCTCCTGTTGACCCCTGATTTCCCATCACCAGTGGTCACCATGGCAGGAGAGAATATTTTAAAAGGCTAGAGGAAAAGAAAACATTCATGGTAGCTCCTGTCATGTGGTTGGATTTTTATTTTAATATTTATCTTTACTTTCTTCATTTTCTATTTTTCAAACTTTCCGCAATGAAATAAAATATATTTACTTTAAGGGGAATGCAGACTTCATGTTAAAAGAATTTGATTACACATTGATTTAAATAAGCTATCACTCCTAGGAAATACCCAGCCTAAGAGAGGACAAGTTTTTTGCTCCTGAGTGAAAGTATATTTAAAAACAATGGAGTGGCCTGGCCAGTGTGGCTCAGTGGTTGAGCATCGACCTAGCATCTAGGAGATCAAGGTTCGATTCCCGGTCAGGGTACATGCCCGTGTTGTGGGCTCGATCCCCAGTGTGGGGTGTGCAGGAGGCAGCTGATCAATGACTCATCATTAATGTTTCTATCTCTCTCTCTCTGAAATCAATAAACATATGTTGAAATAAAAGACATTTAAAAAATAAAAATTAATAAAAATTACAAAGTAAAAACAATGGAGTGTTCTTACCACAGTGAAAAATAAAAACAATGCAAACAAATGCAGCGCAGTCGATGTGACTGGGACAGGAGGAACTGACATCAGTGTCCATGAACTCACTAATTTATGTCACTGTAACAATTACTTCATCATCTTACGAATAAATCAACTTACACTTTTGTAATAATTCTGATGACTTAGACCACTGCAAAGACTGCATTGAACCAAAGAGAATATGTACTAGTTGCCTACTTTGATGTTATGATTAAATAATATAGGTTAGAATCACAATACTGTGAATGTACTTAACAACACTGGACTGAATAATTAAAAATCATTAAGATGGTAAATATTTTTTAAAATCCTCACCTGAAGAATGTTTTTATTGTTTTTTAGAGGGAGAGAAAGGGTGAGAGAGAAATATTACTTGGCTGCCTCCTGCACATCCCCCACTGGGGATGGAGCCTGAAACCTGGGCAAGCACCGTGCACCAGAATCGAACTGGTGGCCTCTCAGTGCATGGGATGACGCTCCGCCAACTGAGCCACACTGGCCAGGGCTTTTTTTTTTTTTTTTTTAATTTTAAAAAGGAAATTAATGAGGTGACAACACAATAAATAAAACCAAAGAGTCAAAATTTGTTTTTTTAAAGGGATAAAATTGGTAAAATTCCAGAAAGGCTGTTAAATATATCAAAGATAAGGCACAAATTCTGATTTTAAGAATGAAAACACAGGGCATTCCTATTCATTTTACAATCTTAAAAAATATAAAAGAGAACTTCTCACCTGTTAGAATGACTATTATCAAAAGAACAAGAGATAACATTCTGGTGAGGATGTGGGAAAAGGGAACCCTCCTGCTCTGTTGGTGAGAATGTAAATTGGTATGACCACTACAGAAAATGGAAAACAGCATGGAAGTTCCTCAAGAAATTAAAACTAGAACTACCATGTGATCCAGGAATCCCACTTCTAGGTATATAACCGAAGGAAATATAATCACACTCCCCAAAAGATAGCTGCACTCCATGTTAATTGCAGCATTATCTGCAATAGCCAAGACATAAAAACAACCTAAGTCCATTGACAGATGACTGGATAAAGAAAATTTTATATATATATATATAATGGATATTATTCAGCCATTAAAAAAAAGAAAATCCTGCCATTTGCCATTTGCAATAACACAGGTGGACCTTGAGACCATTATGTCAAGTAAAATATGTCAGAGAGAGAGAGATAAATGCTGTATTATCTCACTTATATGTAGACTCTAACAACAGAGAGCTCATAGAAACAGAGAACAATGGTGGTTGCCAGGGACTGGAGGGTAGAAGAAAAGGGGAGTTGCTGGTCCAAGGCTACAAACTTTCACTTATAAGGTGAATAAATTATGAAGATCTAATGTACAACATGGTGACTATAGTTAATACTGTATTGTATATTCAAAAGTTGGTAAGAGTGTAGAACTTAATTGTTCTCAATGTAACAACAAAATGGTAGTTATGTGAGGTGAAGGGTGTAACTCACCTTATTATGGTAAACATTTTGCAATATATATATGTATCAAATCATCACATTGTATACCTTAAGCTGACACAATGTTATATGTCAATCATATCTCAATAAAGCTGAAAAAAGAATTTTATGTAAAACCTTACCCTGATAACTTTGAAAATATAAAAATGAAAAAATTCCTACAAAATCATAACATACCAATATGTCTGAAGAAGGAAAAAACCTGAAGTGTTGTATAGTATGTAAGAAGGTTTAAATGAGTGAAACTTTGTTTCAAAGGAAAAAAATAGTTTGGTGCATTATTACTATAATAGTAGCTGCCCTAGCCAGTTTGCTCAGTGGTTAGAGCGTCCGCCCTGGGACTGAAGGGTCCCAGGTTCAGTTCTGGCCAAGGGCACGTACTTGGTTGCAGGCTCAATCCGGGGCCCTGGTCAGTGCTTGAGCAGGAGGCAACCAATCGATGTGTCTCTCTCACACTGATGTTTCTCTCTCTCTCTTCCACTCTCTCTAAAAAGCAGTGGAAAAAATATCCTCTAGTGAGGATTAAAGAAAAGAGTAGCTTCAGACTTAAAATATAAACATACAAACACTGAGCCATAAATGCTACACATTCAGTCCTCAGACCAGGAGGATTCTAATTAAACAGCGTCCTCAGGCCAGTCGTTCCCCTGACTGCTCTGTCTTACTAAAGTGTGAAGGGTGGGGTGCTGTTCCTCTTCCTGACAGCAGATGGAGCCATTGGGACATGGAGGCTTTACTAGAAGGAAATTTTTTTATTTTTTTTTAAATAAGAGGAAGTTAATTTAGGAAGTCACAGAGGTAGGAAAAGTGAGCAGTAGAAGAAATGGGTTCAGGAAACAAGTTACAGAGGCAAAAGAAGGGCCCTTGGAACTTAGGAGAGAGAAGGGTAAAGGTAAAACTCCTGCAGAAAGGAGGAGGGCACCGGGAAAAGTGAGGCTGTGCCCCCAGAGGAAGAGCACCTCAGTGAATCTTAAGGGAGTCTTCTACAATTGTTTTAAAAGATGATTACAAGGGGTCCTTCATGGTAGAAATTGGCGAAGTTTCTCTAATGAGTTTAACCTGGTAAAAAATTTAAGTTCTGGTAGGTGGAGCTCCCAGGAAAACCAAAGCTAAGGTAACTTGTGCATACCGTGGAGAAACAGGAATTCCATTTAGGTTTCAGGATCCAAACCCAGAGAAAACTTAAAAGTGAAGCTTTCTTTGTGCCTGTGGCATCCATGACTAGAAACCATCTTTCACTCCTACCCAGGAGAAATACTGTCTACAGAGAGGCTCAAATGGCCATGTGAAAATATAATTTTTAATTCAGGAGAAATGTTCCCATGTCTGTTTCACTGTCTCCCCCAGTGCTGCAAAACACGGAATGAGGGCTACACTGTGCAGAAGAGAATGGAGATATTTGCTTTACGAGAAGGAAAATCATCTTCTGCTCAAATCACCTGCGTTAGAGCTGGGTAAGAATTCAAATACAGGCTGGCAGAAGGAGGTTTACAGTTGTAGTGTGTGAGATGCAGAGTTTATTCTTGTAGTATTATTTATTAATTATTGTGTTCTTTATTTGTATTACAACTGGAAGCCCACTTCTGCCCACACCCTCTATGTGTATCTAAAGGAAATGTTCGGGTTTGTTATTGTTCTGTTGTTATTTCTCTTTTTTATGTAACATTTTGTCACTTCATTCATTATTAACAGTTAATGGTGTGTGATCCGATTATAGGAACACTCTCACCCAACACACACACACACACACACACACACACACACACACACACACTGATAGAAGCTGAGTACAGCGAGGCAGGTAGCTTGGTTGGCTGGAGTGTCGCCTGTACACGAAAAGGTTGTGGGTTCAATTCCCGGTCAGAGCACATACCTAGGTTGTGGATCCGATCCTCGGTTGGGGAGCATACAGGAGGCAACAGATCAACGCCTCTCTCTCACGTCAACGTTTCTCTCTCTTTCTCTCCCTTCCTCTCTCTCTTTAAAAAAGCAATAAAAACATATCCTCCATGAGGATTTAAAAAAAGTTAAGCACAAAGTGATGGCCTTGGGTGGTAGTCATAGTTCTCTGGTACTGACTATCTGGAAACACAGTATCCATAGCCGCTTTTTTTTTTCAGTTAAAGAGTCATTTGATATTGAACACTTTCTAGTGGTGATTTCTGGAAAAGTTTTTTCTTTTTTCTTTTAATGTTTTAATTTATCTTTATTTGTTAAAAGTATTACAAATGTCCCCCTTTCCCCCCCATTGATTCCTTCCACCCTGCACTCTCCCTCCAGGCCTTCATCACACTATTGTCTGTGTAAATGGGTTATGCATATGTGCATATAAATTCTTAGGTTAATCTCTCTGCACCCACCCACCCCTGCCTTCCCTCTGAGATATGTCAGTCTGTTCCATGCTTCTATGTCTCTGGATCTATTCTGTTCATCAGTTTATTTTGTTCATTAGATTCCACATATGAGTAAGATCATGTGATACTTGTCTTTCTCTGACTGATTTATTTCACTTAACGTAATGCTCTCCAGGCCCCACCATGCTCTCTTAAAGGGAGCCTTCTTTTTTACAGCTGCATAGTATTCCATGGCATAAATGTCCAAGAAGATTCTTGATATGATTTCAATCTTCTTGAACTTGTAGAGACTTGTTTTGTGTCCTAACATGTGGTTTATCTTTCAGACTGTCCCATGTGCACTTCAGGAGAATGCATATTCTGCAGCTTTGGGGTGAAAAGTTCTGTAAATGTTAATTAAATCCATCTGACTTAGTGTGTCATTTAGAGTCACTGTTTCCTTGTTAATTTTTTGTCTGGAAGACCTATCCAGTAAAATCAGTGGGGTGTTAAAAGTCCCCTACTATGACTGTATTGCTTTTGATCTCTACCTTAAAGTTTTTCCAGCCTGAGCGAGTCTTTTGTTCTGCGGTGGGTTTCTTATAGACAGCATATATCTGAGTCATGTTTTCTTATCCATTTAGCTACCCTCCGACGTTTGATTGGAGCATTTAATCCATTTATATTTAAGGTTGTTGTTGATAGGTTCTTATCTATTGCCATTTTATTTCTTTATGCCTATGTTTCTCTTTCTCTCTAATTCAACTTCTTTTTTTCTTTTTTTTTAATATATCTTTATTGATTTCAGAGAGAGGAAAGGAGAGGGAGAGAGAGAGATAGAAACATCAATGATGAGAGAGTCATTGATCGAGCCCACAACCTGGGCATGTGCCCTGACCGGGAATCGAACTCCAATTGCCTGGATCCTAGGTCGATGCTCAACCGCTGAGCCACGCCTGGCCGGGCTCAACTTCTTATTACAGTGGCCCCTTTAACATTTCTTGCAATGCTGGTTTGGTGGTGATAAATTCCTTTAGTCTTTTTTGTCTGGAAAGCTCTTTATTTCACCATCTATTTTGAATATAGTTTTGGTTTATAGCCTTGCTGGATATAGTCTTGGTTTCAGATCCGTGTTTTCCATTACCTTGAATACTTCATGCCGTTCCCTTCTGGCCTGTAGTTTCTGGTGAGAAATCAGCTGACAGCCTTATGGGAGCTGCTTTGTAGGTAACAGATTGCTTTTCTCTTGCTGCCTTTAAGATTCTCTCTTTGTCTTAAATTTTTGCCATTTTGATTATGATGTGTCTTGGTGTGGGCCTCTGGGTTCTTCTTGCTTGGGACTCTCTGTGCCTCCTGAACTTATGTGACTTTTTCCTTGACCAGGTTAGGAAAGTTTTCTGCCATTATTTCTTCAAACAGGTTCTCTAACCCCTGCTTACTTGCTGTCATATTCTCCTATGATGAGAATATTGTTACAGTTCATGATGTCCCACAGCTCCCTTAAACTGTCCTCCTGTTGTTGTTTTCTGTGTGTGTTTTTTTTTTTTTTGGTGGGTTTTTTTTTGTGTGTTATTTTTAATCCTCACTTGAGGATATTTTTCCATTGCTTTTTCAGAGATAGTGGAAGGGAGGGAGGGAGAGAGAAACATCAATGTGAGAGAGACACATAGACTGGTTGCCTCCCACTCACACCCCGACTGGGGCAGAGCCTGCAACCAAGGTACAAGCCCTTGGCTGAGATCAAACCCAGGACCCTTCAGTCCACGGGCCAATGCTCTAACCACTGAGCAAAACTAGCCAGGACATGTTCTCCTGTTTTTTAATTTTTTTTTTTCCTTTTTGGTTCTCTGAGTGATTTTTTTCTACCGTCTTCTAATTTGCTGATCTGATCCTAATCTGCTGTTTATTCCTTCCAATGTATTTTTTATTTCTACTATGTCATTCTTAATTTCCTTTATAGTTTCCATATCTTTTCTCATGCTATTGAGCATCCTTATGATCAGTATTCTGAACTCTATATCTGATAGATTGCTTATTTCCATTTCATTTATCTTTTATTCTGGAGAATTCTCTTGTTCTTTCATTTGTGACTTTTTTTTGCCTCCCCATTTTGACTGCCTGTCTGGGTTTGTTTCTATGTATTAGGTAGGTCTGCTAGGACTCCAAGTCTTTTGGATGGTCTCTGGTGCAGGCCAATGTCAGATGCTGTTTGTGACTGGCCTTGAGTGCCCTGTTGGAAGCTTTCCACACTCCACAGCTTGTGATTCCCTCTGCTGAGGTTGGGTGTGTTTGGACAGGACCAAGATGCACACCAAGGTCTGCTTTTCCAAGCCCTGTGTTCAGAAGCAAATCAGGCAAAGACTCAAAGCAGCCAGAGGCTGTTATTCAGTCTCTTAATGAGCCTCAGGCTGTAGAAACTCCACAGGTTGGGGTGAGAGGTTTGCAGTTGCTTCCCCCCAAGGCAAAAGCTGCTTGGATGGTAAATGTCTGCCTGAGAAAGATGTCCTCTGCAGTATGGGGGAATGACTCAGCACAGGATTCCAGGTGGCTGAGCTCTATCCTCCAGCTAGCACCCCTGGATTCTCCTCACACAGCTCCAGTCCACTCTGCCCGCCCTCTGCCGAAGCCCAAGGTAAGTGGCTGTAGACGAAACTTTGTGCATTGGCCTGCTTTTCCAGCCGTCTCTCCATGGCAGACAGAAATCCTGCTGCTTTTCACAGCCAGATGTTATGTGGGCAACTTTCTCAGTCTGGGACTCTGGGCTGGGAAGCCCAGCTTGGAGTTTAGGCCCCAGAATTCTCAGTGGGAACCCCCGCAGCTGAGATATCCCTCTGGGCCTTCAGCTGCTGCCTGTGGGAGCACAACCAGCCCTCTTGTGCCTCTGTACTTCCTACCAGTCTTTTTCTGGTCTCCACTTTAGGTCCTTGATTATGAGGGTGCTCTCCAGCCAGTCTTCAGTTGATTGTTCAGGATGATTTTTCAATATTTTAGTTGTAATTCCAGTTTCATCCCGGGAGAGTGTCAGTGTAGCTTCCACTCAGTCCATCACCATCTTGGAATCCTCTCTCTTTTTTTTAAAGTATATGATCTTTTCACAACTTTAAGTGCATTAAATATTGTCAATCCCATTATACAGATGTGGAAATTAAGTTTTAGAAAAACTAATTATTTGACTCACAGAGTAGGAACTGGTGAAACTAAACCAGATCTATTAAAAAATTATGCAATACAGACTCATTCTCTGGGTCAATCTCTAAAATATGTGTATGAAAGTCAGGACGTAGGGTGTGTGTTGATACCACCAGATCTCATCTCAGCTGTTCCTGTGATGATTAGGCCCTTAGAAGAATCCTCTTTTTTTAGAGATGAGAAGGGTTTTTCTGTTCTGAAGCTGCCACCTTTCACCAGCTGAAAAAAATGTATCCACCTTTTCTAATTGTGGTACCAAATAGAGAAGCAGATCATAAATGTTAAAAGCCTAATTGATCTAGATAAAAAGGAGTAGAGGAGATTGTTGAGGGAATCAGAATTCCTGACAGAGACCGGGTGCATCATTAGCCAGGAAAGTAATAATTAATACCATTAGAGCTGTGGCTCTCAACCAGGAGCAGTTTTCCCCCAGGAGACATTTGGCGTTGTCTGGAGACTCTTGGGGTAGTTATGTGGGGTGTGGGAGGTGTTACTGGAATGTAGTGGGTAGAGGAAGGACAGGGACTAGGATGGGGCAAGCAAGACAAATGCAAATTAAAAACTTAAAAAACCCAGTACTCAAGATAAATGTTTTAAAGTGTTATTTTTAAAAATGAAAATTAATGCAAAAAATCCATGAGAGACAAAATATCAAAATTTAAATAAAGACAGGACCAGTAACTGCTAAATGTTGAGGGGGGTCAATAGAATATCGCTCTATTGAAATTTGTTTGATATTTTTCTCCTGATCAGTTTGAGTATGGGTTTTGGGGAGGAAAACCAGAGATAAAGTGCCATTTTCATCACATCATATGTAGGGTACATATTATCCACATGCTCAGTGCTGTTAATAATGATCACCTGGCTGAGGTTCGGTTTATCAGGTTTCTCCACCATAAAGTTACTCTTTTTTCCTCCTTTGTACTCTCCTCTTTGGAAGGAAGTTACTACGCACAGCCCACATTTAAAAAGCAGGCTCTTTCATGCTCCACCTTAAGTTTCAGACATATTATCTGGTATTCAATCAAAAATAATTGGGAGAGAGAGAGGCATGATGCAAGACTGAGGTGGTTTGCAGGGGACAGGCGAGGATCTGCATAATGTGTGGGAAAAAGCCAAGAAAGCCAATGTTATGGCTCTTGTGGTGGTCGCTGAACATTCAGGAGAATTTGAAAAGATTATGCAGCTTTCAGAAAGGTATAACGGATTTGTCGTGCCATGCTTGGGTGTTCATCCAGTTCAAGGTCTTTCACCCGAAGACCAAAGAAGTGTCACATTGAAGGATTTGGATGTAGCTTTGCCCATAATCGAGAATTATAAGGATGGATTGTTGGCCTTTGGAGAGGTGGGACTAGATTTCTCCCCCAGATTTGCCCGCACTGATGAACAGAAGGAAGAGCAGAGACAAGTACTCATCAGACAGGTCCAATTAGCCAAAAAGACTAAATTTGCCTTTAAATGTTCACTCACGCTCAGCTGGAAGACCCGCCATCAGCCTCTTAAATGAGCAAGGTGCTGACAAAGTGCTGCTACCTGCATTTGACGGTCGGCCATCTGCAGCCATGGAAGGAATAAAAGCTGGGTATTTCTTCTCAATTCCTCCTTCTATTGTAAGGAGTGGACAGAAGCAGAAACTTGTGAAACAGTTGCCTTTAACCTCAATTTGCTTGGAAACAGATTCACCTGCCCTAGGACTAGAAAAACAGGTACGGAATGAACCCCAAAACATTTCCATTTCAGCAGAATATATTGCCCAGGGGAAAGGAATCTCAGTGGGAGAAGTTATGGAAATGACAACACAGAATGCATTGAAACTGCTCCCCAAGCTCCAGCACCTGCTCCAGAAATAGCTTCGAAACCAGACCAACTGCAGGGGGCAGCATTTGCTTAATAGTGGGATCTGAAGAAACCATTCAATAGGGATAGAGAAGACTATAATTTTAGAGAAATATTTGTCATAGAAATAAAACTGGGCTTGGATCCTGAAACCCTGGGTTCTAATTCTGCCTTGCACTGCTTTTCAATTAACCGAGTCCTAGCAGGAGATTGAGAAATACTGCCACTTCTTACCTTGCCTGGTTAAACAGAACCACCGCCTGAGCTGAAACCATTTCTCCTGGCAAGGGTCTGGCAAGGGTGGCTCCCACAGGTACGAAATAAGTGCTACGGGGGTGACACGGAACAGGCGCAAGTTTCATCTTTTACCACCTGTCTTCCCATAGGATTTGTTTAGCAGAAGGAGAGCTTGTTTCTTATACTATCAGAAATCATCTTTTTTCTGGGTTTGTAAAATTGAAATTTTATGCTTTGAATTATGTCTTTTTAAGAGAAAAATGTACAAGGTTTTTATATTGAGCTTAGATTTTGATGTATGAGGCCAATGTTTATACAATCACCATTAAATACTAAGCCCCAAAGTTTAGTTAATAAACTGGGGGGGAAAAATAATTGGACATACAAAAAAGACAAGAATTGAACTAAAACAAAAAATAAAATCTGGGTCCAGAAGTTAGCACTATGAGAACCAGCTTTAAATACCTATGATTAATTGTTTAAGAAAATAAGTAAGAAGATAAGAGAATTGCAGCACAGAACTAGAAACTGTAAAAAATTAGATATTTAGAATTGAAAAATAAAATGACAAATTAAGAACTCAACAGATGAGTTTCATGGCAGAGTAAACACAGTTGAATAGGAAATCAGTTAACTGAAAGGTGAGAAGAAAATACCTATCCTGAAGAACACAGAGACAAAAGGCCTCTGTGAAAGGTCTAACATATGTAACTGAGTCCCAGAAAGAAAACTGAAAGACAATGAAGTAATAGTAATTTTTGAAAATGGCGAAGAATTTTCCCAAACTGAGGAATGACATCAAAACACAGAGTCAAGATGTTTCTCACCATCTTGTTTTTATCAGTACAAACTAAATGATTATAAATAAAGGATTAAACATTAAAGTTAAACATCAGATACATTTAATTTTTTTAAGACCCTCATGTCTTGGCAAACATAGATTCCACAAGGAAAATTTAAATTCCACGGCAATTTATGCTCATCATATTCTGAGCTGTAGGACTTGGAGCTTCCCTGATCATAAGTAGATAAATAATACAGAGGCTTGAGCTGAAAGCTTTGTTGGTGGAATGAAGAACTGACGAGAAACAAAGGAAGAGGAGAAACAAAGGAAGAAACCTATTAGGATACTAATGGGAAAGCACTTGGCTGTTGATTATGCAAACAGATATATCAAAGGACAAAAACAGAAACATCAGAAAGGCACTCAGAATCAACTGCACTCCAAGCTTACTCTGGGAAGGTTACCACGATCCACTCATGTTCAGCACCCACCAATAACCCATAACTAATTCTCTAGTCATTTTTACTTTGGGGTCAAACCTGACGCCTACTCTAACATTTTCTCAACACAACCCCATCAGAACCAAACACCTTGGGCAGCTGCTATGCACCCTTTGAGTGGTGGTTACTCTTCAAATAAAACTATTTTGGAGGACAGCTGTACCTATCAAAATGTAAAACATGCATGCCACTTGAGGAAGCAATGTTACTTTCCGAAAACTATCTTAAACATGTGCAAAAGGATTTTTGTTTCAAGCATTTTGGCATAATTTGTAATAGGAATATTAAAACATGACTATTTTAGTATTAAAGTATTTCTATATTATGGAATTGCCTTCTGACCTTGTAGAAATAATTTTTAGACTTTTGAGAACTCACTGGGAAGGGTATTCATACATTTGTATTTCTTTTCTTTTTTTTAATATATCTTTGATTTCAGAGGGAGGAAGGGAGAGAGAGAAACATCCATGATGAGTCATTGATCAGCTGCCTCCAGCATGTCCCCTTGCTGGGGATCGAGCCTGCAACCAGGGCATGTGCCCTGACCAGGAATCGAACCTCGATCTCCTGGATCCTAGGTCAATGCTCAACCACTGAGCCACACCTGGCCAGTCCGTATTTCTATTTTTTTAAGTTATATATAAATGCTTTTTAAAAATAAATCAAACTGACATAAAATTTTGCCTCTAATTCAGCAATTATTAACCTTTTTCATCTCATGGCACATAAACTCATTACTAAAATTCTGTGGCACACCAAATATATTCTATTTTTTCCCAATCTGACAAAAAAAATAGGTGTAATTTTTTTTAATTTTTTTTTTTTAGGTGTAATTTTTATTCATTCACACTGGACCACTGTTGTTGTGTCGGCTGTTGTCATTTTTTTATGTGACAATCTAAGGGAAGAGAGGTCAGTGCCCTTGGCTAAACAGTCGGTACTGCATGTTTTAAAAACTCCTGCAGCGCCCGGCAGGGCGTGGCTCAGCGGTTGAGCGTCGACCTAGGATCCAGGCGATCGGGGTTCGATTCCTGGTCAGGGCACGTGACCGGGTTGCGGGCTAGATCAATGACTCTCTCATCATTGATGTTTCTACCTCTGTCTCTCCCTCTCCTTTCCTCTCTCTGAAATCAATAAAGACATATTTTTAAAAAATAATAAAATAAATAAATAAATAAATAATAACCCCCCTGCGGCACCCCGGTTGAAAATCGCGGCCCTGGCTTACCATGGCTGGCTCTGCATTTTCTCCTGCGGCGGCGCCCTAAGCAGTGCTGGGCCGGGCATCTGTGCAGCCGATGCCACCCCCCTCTTGTCGCGTACGTCCCTCCAGCCATCCTCCCCTCTCTCCTTCAGCAGGGCTTCCCTCGGTGTGGTCACCCCCACGAGCATCAAGATTGTCCTCATTTTCCCCATTCTGAATGAACCTTCTCTTTGTGCTACTCTCACTCTCGGCAACTGGCCTGCCGTTGCTCCCGGGCGCAGCGTATTCCTCGGAGGAGGACAGGATTTCTTGCTCCGGTCACAGTCCCAGAGGAACATTCTTGGTTAGGCGGCTTTCCCAGGGACCCGAGCCTACCCTCCTCCCACCATGCGTGCTGCCGTTTCATCTCCAGGGCCTTCTCCACTCCGCAGACAGGCCTGAAAAGGAGAGAAAGGATTGTGTATGGAAAGAGTTTTAAAGCCAGACTGACAGTGGTGCCCGTCACTTCCACTCACATTTTACTGGCCAGAATTCAGGCCCACAGTCACCCTTTATTGCGGGAAAGGCTGGCAAATGCAGTGTAGCTTGTGCCCCAAAGGAAGAAGAAAACACAGATACTGGTGAATATTAGCAACAGGCTTATCTCCTTTATCCAGGCTTCTTTAAAAAAAGCAAGATCCTTTCCTTAGCAACAACTTTCTGTACTTGTGCACAGTCTCTAACCCTCTGCTCCCTCATTTCCCGTCCTTCAATGCCCTCTTGCTGCCCTTCCTTCCTTAACTGTTGTCCGTAATTACAGTCACTCTTCCAAATACTTAAATCTCCTGGCTTTGCTCTTCCAGTCATGTCCACTACATAAAAAGCCCTCCATCCATTCTCAGGCTGTGATCCCACCAACCCAGGGGTCAATCTTAACCAGTTATTGTGGGACAACCAGAAATTAGGTTTGTCCTGACGTGAAGCTATATAAAACTGACATCAGTTATTTATATTGTTGCCAATAATATGACTTTATATTATTACCAAGATTATTTAACTTTCAGTTCACAGAAAACAGAGGGAAAATATGAGAAATAAGCTACGTGACATCAAGAGTAAGTAATCAGAAAAATCTGAGACATCCTAAAGAATCCAGTCTCTTTAGCATGTCAGTGTCATGACAAGAAGACTGTTTGAGATTAAAAGAGACTTAAGGATGTCACAAACAAATGTAATGCATGGTTTTAACTTGGATACTGGATTGGGTGATGGAGCTGCTGGACCAGGGATTCTAAGCACGACTAAGCTCTGAGAAATGGGTTAGAAGCGAACAACATTATTCAAGATTGAGGAGGAGCAGTCTGGTTTCTCATTTATTCTTGATGATAAAACAGTATTTCAGATGACTTCAGAGCAGTAACTAGAATAGTTATTGAAAAACCAGTGGACTCCTGCAGCTTCCAGGAAGCACTGCGCTTCTTGGTCAACTGAAACAGATATAAGCAGAATAGCCATCTATTAAATTAACCCTTACAAACTACCATAGGAGATTAGGTACTTACCCCCACCCCCCCGCATCATCTCCCTAGCCACCATCTGCCCCGAGGTCTTTTATTCCCTCATAGAGTCATCTCTATTCCTGAATATATCTTCCTTCTTGCTGTTGTGTACTTAGGTTTTATGACAGCATATAACCATTAATTTTGTCTGGTTCTTCAGCTTCTCATTCTTGAGGTTGAGTCATATTGGCCCCTCCCATGGGCCAATCTTAAGACATGTCTCTGGAAGTCAGAAATAGATCTTGTCTAGCTAATGCTGATGTCCTGTAAGATATCAGCAAGGTCTGTCTTTTCCTGGAATTATTCTCTCTTTAAGGAAATTGTACCAACAGTCAACCACCCAGAAAAGGGGAAGTCTGTCCACTACAGTGGTTCTCAAATTTAGCTACACATTGGTGTCACTGGAAGGAGCTTTAAAAAATATTGGACCCTGGGCTCCACTCCCAGAGATTCTGATTTTATTGACCTGGGGTGTGCCCTGGACATCAAGATTTGTTTTTTTAAACTCCTCAAATGAATCCAGTTGTTGAGAGCCACTTGTCTAGTCCAGTGGTTTTCAAACTTTTATAAAGTACCTAGGGATCTTGTTAAAATGCAAATGTTGATTCAGTAGGTGTCAGGTGGGACCCGATTTTGAGACTGAGTCTCAGATTAATACAATTACATCAAAAACTTCAATAGTCTCATTTTTCTAG